TAGTAAACTATTTTTGTGTTGCTATTAATTTTAGTGGGAGATGGAGTAGGATTTAATGGTGCAGAGCCAAAAAATGGGCCCTCGCAAAGCAGAAGGAAAGTCATTGTCAGAGCTATTGCCACACCTACGACAACCACCCTCCTCCCCCAGTCGGCCAGCTGCCCTAGCCGACCATGCCTAGCAGATCGGCCAACCTCTCCCAGCCATTGGAAGAAGTCGGTCGACCATCAAGGGTCGAAAACCACCGTCGCCCAGTCGGCTAGCTGCCCTGGCCGGCCATGCCTAGTAGATCGGCCAACCTCTGCCAGCCATAGGAAGAAGTCGGTTGACCATCAAAGGTCAGCCATCACCAAGCTGACAGCTCCTCGAGGGGTCACCCTCAATTTGGACTAGCTACTATGAGCTGGCCACTCCTCTCCTGTCAGCCGACCATACCAAGCTGACCTGCCACCAGAGCTACGCAAATGAGGGACCACTGACCGACCACATGAAGAGCAGGCCAACCACTTGGGTCGGCCACCATCATTCGACTAGCCACCATGGGTCAGCTACACTGAAAGAAGACGGTCGACCACCTGACACCAACAGACTTCACAGACAAGAAATTCTGGAGGGCCGATCCATGCAAGGGAAAGACCAGAATACCCCTCTCAGCTCCCTTTAGAACAAGGGCATAAATGTAATATTCATTTCCCTCTCTCTCTTTTTTTCTATAAATAGAGGACTCTTTTGTATGTAAAGGGGCCCTCTAGGCTCTCTTTTTCCTCTCATGTAGTGAAATTTCTCCCCTTCTCTTCCCACTTGTAACCCTCAAGTTATTTGGAATATATAGGGTCAAGGAGCCTGAGATCACCACTCCTTACCATTCAGTCGGCCACCATGGGTTAGCTACAATGAAAAAAGACGGCCAACCACCTCTGGACCATCAACCACCTGGATCGACCACTAAAAGCTACCTGGGTCGACCACCTGACACCAATATACTTCACAGACAAGAAATTTTAGGAGAGTTGGTCCATGCAAAGGAAAGACCGAAATAACCTTATCAGCTCATCTTAGAGCAAAGGCATAAATGTAATATCCATTTCCCCCTCTCTTTTTCTCTATAAATAGAACCCCCTTTTGTATGTCAAGGAGTCCTATAGGTTCTCTTTTACTTCTCATGTAGTGAGATTTTTCTCATTCAAGTTATGTGGAATATAAAGGGCAAACAAGCCTGAGATCACCACTCCCCTCCCCCTGCTGAGCAGCTCTTTCTCTCTCTCTTTCTCTCACACACTCTGTCTATGTCTCTCTTTCTTCTTTTCTCAGAAATTGGCTCTATTCTTTGGGCACAGTTCAAAAGACACAAAAAACAACAGCAAATGAGGAGATAAGACATAAAGTAAGAAGAAAGAGAAGAACAGAAACAAAAAAGAAGATAAAGTGTTCTTTTGCTTTATCTTATTCACTTTTCTTTCAAGGAGAAAGAAAAACTAAGAAAAAAGAAAAATAAAATAACTCTCTCTCTCTCTGTCTTTAAGTCTCTCCTTTGGGAAGGTTTCTTTTAATTCTCATGTAGTGAGATTTTTTCCCTTCAAGTTATGTGGAATATAAAGGGCAAAAAAGCCTGAGATCACCACTTCCCCCCTGCTGGGCAGCTCTTTCTCTTTCTCTTTCTCACACACTCTCTCTCTATCTCTTTTTCTTCTTTTCTTAGAAACTGACTTTATTCTTTTGGTACAGTTCAAAAGACACAAAAAATAACAGAAAATGAGAAGATAAGACATAAAGTAAGAGAAAGAGAAGAAAAGAAACAAAAAAAAGATAGTGTTCTTTTTCTTTTATCTTATTCACATTTCTTTCAAGGAGAGAGAAAAACTAAGAAAAAAGAAAAATAAAGTAACTCTCTCTCTCTCTCTCTCTTTAAGTCTCTCCTTCGGGATGAGCAAATAAAATCTCTTATGTTCTTTTTCTTTTATCTTATTCACATTTCTTTCAGGGAGAGAGAAAAACTAAGAAAAAAGAAAAATAAACTCTCTCTCTCTCTTTGAGTCTCTCCTTCGTGATGAGCAAATAAAATCTCTTCTCTGGGATGGGCAAACTAAGTCTCTCCTTCGGGATGAGCAACCAAAGTCTCTCCTCTGGGACAAACACACCAAACCTCTCATTCAGAACGAGCAAACCAAACCTTTCATTCAGGACAAGCAAACCAAGCCTCACCCCAGGATGAATAAACCAAACTTTCTCCAGGACGAGCAAAAAAAAACCTCTCATTTGGGACGAGCAAAGCAAATCTATCTAGTGGGACCCGCAAAAAAATCTTCTAATTAATTGTTCGATCAAATATTATATCTAAAAATCTATAAACATAATTAATACTTTTCTCAATAATCGACTCATCAATCGCTAACAAAATGACTAAGTATGGCTAGAGATTCATAAAATCATATTTTATATACTTAAGAGTTTTCTATTCATACCGCAACTTCACCTTCAAGAAGCGAAAAACTCAGGGGCTTTATGTATAACCCAAAAATAGGCCCTCTCCAAGCAGAAGAGAAGTCGTTGTCACAGAATTCGCCAACACCTACGACAACCAACCTCCCCCAATCGACCGATCACCCTAGCCAACCATACCCAGCATACCAGTCAATCTCAGCCGACACAGGAAGAACTCGGCCGACCATTAAGGGCAAAACATCACCAAGTCAGTCGCCAACACCTACGACAACCAACCTCCCCCAATCGGTCGACCACCCTAGCCAACCATACCCAGCAGACCAGTCAATCTCAGCCGACACAGGAAGAACTCGGTCGACCATTAAGGGCAAAACATCACCAAGTCATACTCCGAACAATCAGCTATCTGGATCGACCACCAAAAGCTACTACGTCTACCACCCGACACCAACAGAACACACAAACAAGAAATTCTAGGACGGCTGATCCAAGCAAGGGAAAGACTGAAATATCCCTCTCAGCTACCCTTAGAGCAATGACATAAATGTAACATCCATTTCCCCCCCTATTTCTCTATAAATAGATGACCCCTTTGCATGTAAAGGAGTCTCTTAGGCTTTCTTTTACCCCTCACGGAATGAGATCTCTTCCCTTCTCCTCCCATTTGTAACCTTCAGGTTATGTGGAACTAAATGGACCAAACACCTCTCTTTGCCCCCCCCTGGGGATCTTGTCATTTAAATTATAAATCCTAATATAAAACTAAACATTTCAATTTAATGATAATTTTATCAAAAACTTATCAGCATTTATACTCTCAAGATATTAGATTTAAAATAGATAGTTCTAGAATAAATCACATATTTATCTTTTGAATCTTGTAATGCACCTATTTTGAATCATCTTTTGCGCACAAAAGAAATACCTTATACATTTCAAAAGAAACTACCAATATTTATGATGAAATTATCATCGCAATAAATGGATTGAAGAATAGAAAATCATTTTAGCTATGCTGTAGTTCAATCATGTCAAGATTTATGTTAGCTTTCTGACCAACCTGATTAAGTACAATTAATCATCACTAATCTTGAAATTTCAATATAACTTCATCTTCTGATTCAAATCAAAGTTTGTACCCAATCTTACAGCCATGAGTACATATTCAGTTATTTAATTCAAATTTATTTCAATCATTATCAGTGGCATAATATCATGAATCACAATCATTGCATGGTATGATTTTTCACCCTTTGTTAGCCATAACATGATTTTCAGATTGCACTATATGTACTATCTACCTTATGCATCAATTAGGTACTAAAATGTTCAGAGAAGTCAAACCTCTTTAAATAACCTCCGAGGGCACAAATAAGAGGCAAAATATTTGTAGATATTGAAGTGTAGCATATTGATTGAAAATTAAATGAATAATTCCAGTGAATGGCAAAGTTAAGCCTGTTCGTGCGAAAACATAACCTACTGAAAAGTTAGACCAATGAAATAAAATCATAAGGCTATCAGACCAAAACAAACAATATCTCGATGAATAAGATTTTGAGCAATTACAAGTGATATCGGAGCGTTACACCAATCTAAAAATAAGAAATAAGTGTCATACAAAATGAAATGCTATACCATGAAAGCCACCTATTAAATTCTAGATAGAACAAAGTGTTATATGATGAGAGTCACATCTTGAATCTTATATGCGTGATGGATGACTATAGATTAAGAAAAACTGACAATATATCAATTTTTCAGATACTGGAGATTTTGAAATATTTTAAGTAGAATGTCGCTGAACTCAAATATTGCCGTGCTTTTTAATATGTAATGATTAAAATTTTAGTCAAAACTTACAATTGCGAGGGCACTCTCACTCTCGGGGTGACTTCCAGAGAAGTTATACCAATAAGGTAAAACTGTAGGCCATTAGGCAAAAGCAGAGAAATATCTCGATAGATGAGAGATCGGGCTTTTACAACATTAGATATGTAAAAAAAAAAAAAATTCTATAGTATGTCACATTAAATTTTCAATATTTTAACAAGTCAGGATAGGAAGATAACAAGAAGAGCTCAAGACGATCATAATAAGTAGAGGCCAACAATTGCAGAACCACTTCCCCTTCCCGTTCTCAGTTGGTGTCGAAGATACGCTACAATGCCCATCTCAAACAAAACTAGCATCTTGCAAAACAAGTTCATTAAATTTCCTCAAAAAGCCCCATATAGAAAAAGGCTACACAAAAAACAAAAAAAAGTCTCCCGAATATACTCAGGGACGATACACCACCTCCGCCACAACCCACAAACCTCATTATTCCTCTCAGAAATCACACTCACCCCCTTCAAATCAACAACATCATTAAAGCAATGTTTAAATGATAAATAGAGCATAACTTGATAAAGATAAGTATAAAGCTGATTCCTCCTTTGAATCCAATGGAACAGAAGTTCCATCAGATTCAGTTTCCTCACATTAAAATTCTCTAATACCTGTAATGGGCTGGTTTGTAGGGACCCTCGACCGGAACACTGATGTAATCAGCCTGCGAAGGAGTGAGCTTGGTGAGCTTGGCCCCAAGCTTGCCCAAATGAAGCGCCGCAACCTTCTCATCCAGGTGCTTCGGCAAGACATACACCTTCTTCTCATACTTCCCCGACGCCCTCTCCTTCCACAGTTCCAGCTGAGCAATTACCTGGTTCGTAAAAGAGCACGACATGACAAAGCTGGGGTGACCCGTGGCGCATCCGAGATTCATCAGACGGCCCTCCGCCAGCACGAGGATGCCGCTATTTGTGTCAGGGAAGACCCACCGATCCGTCTGCGGCTTAATGGTGATGCGTTTGACACCGGGGAATGATTCGAGTCCGAGCATATCAATCTCATTGTCGAAGTGGCCGATGTTGCAGACGATGGCATTGTTCTTCATCTTCCTCATGTGGTCAACCATGATGATGTCCTTGTTGCCGGTGGTGGTGACGAAAATGTCAGCCTCGGACACGACGTCCTCAAGGCGGAGAACGGGGAGGCCTTCCATGAGGGCCTGAAGAGCGCATATTGGGTCGATCTCAGTGACGATGACACGAGCACCGGCAGTCTTGAGAGCCGCGGCACAACCCTTGCCGACGTCACCGTAGCCGCAAACAACAGCTACCTTGCCGGCGATCATGACATCGGTGGCTCGCATTAGACCATCGGGGAGAGAGTGACGGCAACCATATAGGTTATCAAACTGTTTTAAGATGAACAAAACAATAAAAAATTAGGATATGTTAAAAAAGAGATGCAATATAGAGTCCTTTTACTTTTGCAATTTTTTGCTCATTTAGATACAGGGTACACAATTCTTGTTTTAGTAGATAACACGCAAACTTTTTCATTTATATGCGTAACACTCTAATCTTTAACATGCATAAGAAATACTACTATTACTAAATTTTTTAGAACAAATAAATAGCACAAAACAAATAACATGAAACCTAGTTTATAAACAACTGGTTCATTTGACTGCGTGAGGATATAAAATATATTGTATAACAAAAAAAAAAACTTATTTTCACCCGTTTTATATGTGAAAAGTAAATATATTTAGCAAACTTTGAACAGAACTGAGTGTTTGAATTTAAATCAAATGATGAATTTAACAAACTAAATTGCAACTAGTCTAAGTCCTGAGAATCTATTGTGCCATTATAAATTATACATATATTTTACCTAGTCAATCCTTACCTAATTTAATTTATTAAATTTATTTATAATCACATGTTTTTTTAAACCTTAAGTAATTATCTTAACTATATTTTATAGATGAATAATTATATAATATGATCTCCAACTAGTCCATCCAACCTTTAATATTATAGTATAAGTTATATTTCATAAAATGACAGCTGATCTTCGTTTAATTAACATAGAACTAACATAAATTGAATCATAAATATCAATTTTTTAAATTTCCATAGCACATGTAAAAATAAAATACAAAAAAAGAAAGCTTAAAAACAATAAATTACTTGACTGGCCTATGTTTTAGTGAAGTCACCCCCGCAAGAGACTTATAGTTACCATGCTGGGCGCCTAATGGTAACCAAGTAACAGAAGAAGCCTTTTTGAATGGGACTTCGATCATTTTAAAATTTTTCTTTGGTTCATGATCGTTTTGTTAAAATACCATCTTCATGTAATTCATTTAAGGTTTTAGAACTAAAAAAGGAGACTCCATTAGTAACAACTATCAATCAAAATAGGAAAAAAACTTCAAGTAGATCTACAACAAGAAAGTTACCATTTCAGAAACAGATAAACAGCAGAAAGGCCAAAACCAGATCTAGACGTCCAACAAAGAGTCTTAGAACTCAAGAGTACATGAGCACAAAAATAATTTTCAGTCCAAACAGAGCAGTAAACATAATAGAATCAGCTAAATAAATGACGACTCTCGGAGCATCAGTCCCTTAAAAATTAATTAATTTCAGATTTACATCTAAAAGCATGAAAAAATTCGGGCAATAAATCTGAAGTTTTCAAAAGCTAATAAGGGCAAAATAAAAGATAACGAACTCAGCAGCGTGTCAATAAAGAAAAATTAATATATCACAAAAATCGTGCAGTACTCTAGAACCCTAATAAGCCAGCTCAAGCCAGCAGTTATTGAAATAAACAGATCTAGATCGTAGACCCTGATCCAAACCGGGGTTAAAAAAAAAAAATGGAAGATCTGAAGCAAGGAGAAAAATCAAGAAATCTCACCTTGCTCTTGGTAACTGAGTCATTGACGTTGATGGCAGGGAAAAGAAGCGTCCCACTGTACTGCATCTGGTACAACCTCTTCACTCCGGTGGTCGTCTCCTCAGAGACGCCAACGAGCCTCTCCTTCATCCTCCGATACTTCTTCGGATCGACGCTTAAGCTATCCCTGATGAGCCCAAGCACGATCTGGAATTCCGCGTTGTCCGTAGAAGCCGGATCTGGAATTTTCCCGTTCTTCTCGTACTCCTCCTCAGCCTTAACTCCCTCATGGATAAGAAGTGTCGCATCACCGCCGTCGTCGACAATGAGATCCGGGCCTCCGCCGGCGCCCCATTCTAGGCAGCGCTCCGTGCACCACCAGTACTCCTGAAGGGTCTCGCCCTTCCAAGCAAAAACGGCGGCGGAATCACGGGCGATTGCGGCAGCAGCATGGTCCTGGGTGGAGAAAATGTTGCAGGAGCACCAGCGTACCTCGGCACCGAGGGCGGTTAGGGTTTCAATGAGCACAGCGGTCTGGATAGTCATGTGGAGAGAGCCGGAGATACGCGCGCCTTTGAACGGCTGGGAGGGGCCGAACTCAGCGCGGCAAGCCATGAGGCCTGGCATCTCGACCTCCGCAAGCTCGATCTCGAGCCGGCCGAAATCGGCTTGTGATAAGTCTTTCACCTTGTACTCGCGCCCGGAAGTGGTCTTCTCCACGAGCAGAGCCATGGCGATGAAAGAGAAGTAGATCGGGAAATTTTGCCTCCCGCTGCGAATGGCACCGAGATCTAGCAAGCGAGGAGGGCAGGACGAGGAGGAAGGGAGGTTGGCGTGGGGGTTTAAAGAGAGAAGAGATTGAAGCCGACAGTCTGAATTTGTCGTGGTCAAATGATTAGATCTGGGTAGCGGTGGCGGTTCGGCAAAAACTGGAAAGTGCTTGTGACCGAAGGTCCAACGAAGGGTCTGGTTGGTCCCTGTTAAAATTAGTTGGAACTATTGTTGGAAAAAAACATAAAACGAAAGAAACTCTCTCATATGAATATAAATAAATAAATAAATAAATAAT